TACTCCCGGTCCCATGTCACCGACACATATGGACAAAAAATACGGGAAGGCGTGTCAAGAGAAGTCCTGAGCCATCGACAGGAACGGGGAAAATTAGTCCTGGTGGATGCTGGCTGTTTGAGGAATCTTATATACATGTACAGTCCTTCCTTTTTTGGTTCTAAAAAATGAAACTCTTTTTTCACAACAGTTATGCACTAAATTTGAAAGGTGATCAGCATAAGAGTTAATTAAGAGTTTGGATCTAAATTATGATTGAAGGTGTTTTACCTTATTAAAATTCTTTATCTTTTAGACAAATTAAATTCATATAGACATTTGTATAATACCCTCTATGTCATATAAAAGATGGAGGGGTAGTATAAACTAGAGGGAAGATAGATACTCCCTCCTTTTTTCAATATGGAAAATGCTACACACACGACCCACACATCCGACTCTATCAGATGACTACAACGTTGATGTACGCGCCGTCAGCAGCGTGCAGTACGAATCCTCACGCCGTCTCGCAATGTGTTGCTACGTTGTTTTGGTCGTACGCCGGTTGGATGGATGGGTCGTACGTATAGCATGATTCTTTTAATATATAACACTATTAACTTTTAGACATGATAAGATGAGTAATCAAATATATGCTCATATTTAAAAGTCAAATAGCCTTGTATATTTTTTTAAAAAAGAGGAAACATGCTTTTGTTCAAATTAATTGTACTAGAAAACATCACATCTTATGCTAGGTTGATTTTTTATGAGACGGAGAGAGTAATACTGTTTATCCTATACAAGTTGCTGACAACGATACAAAGACAAAGGTAGTGATAAATACCAAACTAGCGATATGGGGTCCTTATGCTTGCAATTGCTGCTAGCATCGCAGCGAAGGATCCAAATCACTGACCAATTCAAACAGTACGTTCTTACTGTAGCAACAGGGTGTTGATGCTGGCATGTTGCTGTGAGACAAAGCTGTACTTTGCTCATTCTACTGTACCAGTTCAATCTAAGCCGTTGATCATCTCATGTCCTGGACGGTAGAGAATGTTCCCCCAATGCACCATTTACTGTTGGCCTACTCCCTCCGTCCCATAATATAAGGGATTTTAAGTTTTTACTTGCACTGTTTGATCATTCATCTTATTCAAAAAAATTTTAGAATTATTATTTATTTTCTTTGTGACTTACTTTATTATCTAAAATACTTTAAGCACAACTTTTCGTTTTTTATATTTGCACAATTTTTTTTTGAATAAGACGAGTGGTCAAATATTGTAAGCCAAAACTCAAAATCCCTTATATTATGGGACGGAGGGAGTATATATGTTGTCATGGAATGGGGATCACATTCATGGATTTGTTTGATTTGTATCAATCATGCATGAGATGACTTGTCACGGTCGTACGTGCAAATGTGTAATGGAGAATCATATTAGATCACCTTTAGTACACACACAGGAATTTAAGTGCCATGTACTTAGAATCCCTATGGTTTTTAAAAGGGCAAGAAAGTTTCGTAATTGTTTCTCTGATGGCACTAGTCATATGTCCATACGTTGCAACAGGATTTTCAGAACGTGATTTAATTTGATATGAGAAACATGGTTCAATTTTTTCCACCCTATTTTTTTTTCGGTTGGTTTCAGTTTGTCTTTTCACTGGTTTTTTTTTAATATGTAGGATAGGAGGAGGGAAGGGGAGAAGGACAACTGCTTTTACCTAGTAGAGAAAGGATTGAAGCACTTACACTACAAAGAGATAACATGTGGTAAAACTTCAAAAATTTAATTCCCTTGCAAGTTCCTATTCTCTATTTTTGAGGAGTCCTAAACATTGTAATCCATTGTATGGACCAACTATTACTAAAGAAAGACAATTGGACTTACTTTTTTCTATGAGAAGTCATGTATTTCGAGGAAAAAACAAGCCATTCTGACATTTTTGAGTTGGCAAGAGAAAAGTTATATCCTCAATGATTGGGTCTCTACTTCTATAAATAAACAAGTAGTAGTAGTAGTAACTTCTTTTGAGTCAAACCATCAAAAGGTTCCAGCTCCCACTGAATTGCCAAATCTTTTTCTTATAAAAATGCCCCAAAAACATGAGTGTTCCACCTGTTAAGCTTTTTTACTTGCTAATGTCGGATCGATTTATTTACAGAAAAGATTTTTTTATGTATATTTTGGAAACGTGACACGAATAATCCGTTTAGAACAAGGCCTTGCCACTTTGTGCAACTGTACAATCAGCCATCATGTCCTTCCAAAATTTTTATCGGTGTTGCATCCTACATATATAGATTCTGCTCGATTTCATTCGTGCTAGTTTCAGTTAGCACCATGATAACTAGATGATGCCTCATACGCGTTGCTGCGTGACTTGGTTAACATCAATTTGTTAGATAGGAGGTACAATCTCAAGAAGAAACAGAAGAAACAAATAGCTTTCTTGGAAAAATTCTTTTTAGCATCTCTATCCAAAATTTGTAGATAATTTAGGTAGCACATGTCAACTAAAGGGGCGTTTAGCCATAAAGCTCTTTTATACGGATTGACGGGCTGGATACATGTAAATGTATGTGGAGATGGGCCAATGTGTTCATGTGGGCTACATTTGGCACTGAGGAGGCAAAGAGACTTACTCGGTGACTAATGGGTTGGGCTTATATGCTGGATTCCATCTAACGTCTGAGAAGCGATCTAACGCATTCATCCAACGGTTCACAATTTGATGATGACATGGACAGTGGCGTAGCTAGGAATTTTTCGTTGGATAGTCCTATTTCCCATGACGGGGGATAAAAAAAATTTAGGTGTGACCAAGTACCCAGTAGATAGAAAAAGAATGATGAAAAACAAGTTATACTACAATATTTACAAAATTTGTCCATAGTCGTGCCAACTTATACTACAATTTTAATATCACCATACTATCTAATATGCATTTACAAAATTTGTTAAAGACCGCCTAATTCAAATAAACCATCAAAACATAAACACCATGACAGAAAAAAAAGACAGCTAGCTCTAATCTAATCGTATAAACAAACTCAAAACTTGACAAAAATGCAATAACAAATATATAACACTCTAGAGTTGTCAGGCTAACTAACAAGTTTAAGAAGCATGATATATCAGTAAGTATAGTTCGTTTTGCAAATGATCCATGAATTGTAAAGACTGAATAAGAGCAAATCAATTTAAGAGTATAAATCTCAAAGGTAAATACGAAATGCTTTAGCAAACTTTGTGGCCAAAGAAATTTATTTTGATAGTGGGGATTAAGGTCTCTAGGCTAGAATCTAGGGTAGTCCTGTGCCCATATAGACCACCAGCTAGCTACGCCCCTGAACGTGGAAGCACGAGGTTTGAGCTTTTGGCCTTAACTTCATAGTAAAGAAAGAAGAGATTACATACTCTAGATATCCCACATGCCTATGTTTGAATTGTTGGAATCTACTAAAAGGCATACCTAGTAACTAAAATAAATATTTCCCCCATCCCAAAATATAAAACTTTTAGCCATCAGGATTTGTCCCAAAATATACTCCCTCCGTCCCAAAATATAAGCATTTTTGGATCTGAACACGGTCTCCAAGATGCTATTTTGATCAACAATATCTACAAAAGTAAAATGTCTTGAATAAAAAAGTTGCATATTATGATAGTTCGTTTAATGATAAATATAGTAACATCAAATTTACATGATTAATCTTTTTAAATTTTTCACTATTAATAGTCAAAATTTAAAAAGTTTGACTTGGCACTATTTTAAAAATACTTATATTTTGGGATGGCGGGAGTAACAACTTTTCCGCCAACATTCCCTTCCCAACCAATCACAACCCTCAACCATTCACTTTTTCCACCTACCTCCACTACTCATCCAAATACAACCCTACACCATTTACTTCTACCTACTTTCTTAATAACCGTGTTTAATTCTAAAACTTCTTATATTTTGGGATAAAGGTTGTACTTGTTAAACACTCTCTAGCTTACTACTACTATCAACTACTGCTGCTGCTGGAGTACTACTACACCCATGCTCAATGTGTAGCAACTCAATGTGTCTAGAATCTTATCACATCAAGCTAACTACACCCATGAGAAACAATGCAGAGGCAGCCAAGACAATCTGTAGCATTCTCTTCCTTTTTGTGAAAACCAGTGCTGAACATCTCATTCAGTCATCTTTACTCTTTACCAGAAAGTAGCAGTACTACATGCACAACAGCATGCACAGAGTAAGGCAGATTCCATCTTTCCAAGCAACATCAAACATCTTTGGCAGAAAGCCATCAGAAAAAAAGCAATCCCTGAATCATCTGTTGGGCTCTGCATAACTGCATTGCTGCTGTTGCTGTTGCTGTCACACACATCCTCCCTCCAAAAACCATTCAATTGCTCATGCTGCTGCTCCTGCACATGCCTGTCTATGGATTCCAGCTTCCCTTTTGCTTTTCAATCACACTAACAATGCAACAGCAATCCTTTCTTTTTTGTTACTACAAAATTTTTGATTGGTTGGTCCAACTCCAGTGCAACACCTTGCAGCTTATGTTGCTGTTAGGCAGGTCAGATGCGTGAACATTCTTCCTAGGGTGGTGTATCACTGTATCCTACAGCCTTTGTCCCTTTTTAACACTGGTTGTATATAGTAATTAGTTGCCTGTCATTTGGGATAAACAGTGCACACTATTAAGTAATCAGCACATCATCACTGCATAATTATTGCCATCTGATCTGAAGCTTCAGGGGAACCATATCCCTGAATTTCCCAACAGCTGCAGATTTCAAGTAGGTACTCTAGATTAGGATGCTACATCCTACTACACCCTAGCTACACAACCTTTGTCCCTCAACTTTGGCTCTATGGCCCTGTTTAGTACACACTAAACTTCCCCCAAACTTCCAACTTTCCATCACATCAGATCATATCCAAAACTTTCCTACTCACATAAACTCCTAACTTTTTTTTTCCAAACTACCAACTTTCCCCAAACTTCTCCCCAATTCCAAGAACTAAACATAGCCTATAATAGAGAGGCAGTGGATCAAGCCTACTCCCTCCGTCCCTAAAAAAAGGTTAACATAGTACAAGATGTAACATTTCCGAGTACTATGGATCTGGACAGAGGATGGAGTGAGTACCATTTTGCATAAACAGTGAAAACTAATCATCATATTATCACTGCATCATTATTGCCATCTTGTCTGAAACTCTGAATCTTCGGGGTGGCAACCATATCTGAATCCTCCCAACAGCTGCACATTTCAAGCAGGTAGATGAGGATGCTTCACCCTCCATGAGTGACCACTTGTCATACAAACACAAATTGTAGCTATCACCATTCATCTCATATATATATATATATAGGAGGAAAGTAGACCGAGTAATGGTAGTAGCAGTAGATACATCAAGAACACATAGACACATACACATCAAAAAAAAGATTTGCAACCTCGTTGCAAACCATGGAGGAGTTCACCTTCTTCCCAGCAGCGACGTCGCCTCGCCGCGATCATCGGCTCGGCCTCGTCGGCTCGCCTCCACCGCTGCTGTTCGCCGCCGTCATCGAGGTCGACGACGGAGATGATGGAGAGGAGGAGGAGAAGATGGACTTGCTGTGGGAGGACTTCAACGAGGAGCTGGCTCGCGCGCCGCCGGTGTGCCCTCTGAGCCCGCTCAACATCAAGGGCGGAGGGCTGACGGCGACGACGGCGATGGCCAAGGACGACGGCGGCGGCGGCGAGAAGCAGGCGAGGCGCATGTACTCCGGCAGCGTGGTGCGGCGGCGCCGGAGATGGAGCCTGCTGCTGATGCTCAGGCTGCTCAAGAACCTCTTCTTGGCCAAGAACACGAGGAACAACCCAAGAACTGCACCCATCTGAAGCTTTTCCGAAACGATCAGTCGATCAGATTTTTTCTGGAGGTTTCAGAAATCAAGAAATCCGAGAGCTGATGATGATCTTGATCACGATGATGATGATGAGGATGAGTTATATACACGAGTGTAAAATAGTAATGTGCATATATTTGATATCTATTAGTACTACATGTTTGATGTTTCTGTCACAGGACAGAGTAACCCAAGGAGGTAAATTTCCTCTCTTTTGCTGAAGTGTGTGTTCTTCTTATTATCTATATATATATATAGTTTCCTATATAATTATCTGTTTCTGTTCTTCACTCTGATTCTTCTTATGTTATATCAGTTATCACAATGTATATTGGCATCTCAATCATCAAAAATTTTATTTCTGAATCAAGTTCAACAAGCCCTGGCTATTTCTCAGTATAGTACTGATTGAGATCAATCATTGGTTCCATCTGAATTTTGCTTCATCATATAAAGATATCTGAATTTTGTTTGTAAAATTTTACTGTACACCTGTTCCTACAGCTGCATTTGGTTTGTTGTCACCAACCTTGTAGATGCAGATGCCTTGCCATCAAAACCTACCGAAATGAGGGAGCTATTAAATGTCAAGGAGCAGGCCAAGTTTTCTGGTGAATTCACCAGAAATCTCTATGTGAGGCAGTGCCAGATGATTCCAAGTCTTCAGCTTCATAAATGTTGCAACTAAACATCACAGCCAAAACAGACCAGGATCAGGGTACAATCATTTGTGCTGCATCTTCAGGAATTCTAACATTAGTAATCTCAATGCCCTATCTGATCCCACAGTTTGCATTTATAATCTTTCTCTTCTAGTAATAAGATCATAATTTTAAAAATGTCCAGACATAAATACTTCTGTAATCTGTACTGTACTGTACTGTACTTCTGTAATCTGTACTGCATTTCAGTTGATCAGTGACTGAAAAATTTTCAAACTCTCACCTAACACATCATATAGATATCTACTATTTGATTTAGCAGTTGTGCTTACTTTGTTATAATGACCAGTACTACAAGTAAGTCAATCATCGTAGTCATAGTACATATCAAACCTAGAAAGGTCATCTGAATAGGACTTCCTGATTGGGATTTCTCCATTGTTCACTGGAGTAGAAAGGAAGAAGAAGGCCTCAGGCTGGGCGAGGCGCCGACACGTGTCGTCTCGTGGCAATCTGCGGTATCTCAGATCTGTATATAGGCCTGTAACAAATTGAAGCAACAGTGAGGTCAGGTGAGCTAGGCAAAGGAAGAGCTGTGAGATGGATTCAGCTACCTCTACCGGTTGGTCTCAAACAGCAGGAATTGGTTGTGTACTCTTTCTTGTACACTGTCAGAAAATCTTGGCAACAATCTGCACTTGCCTGTCGGGCATATTCATGCAAGAAGGGGAAACAAATTATTCTCACATCATAAGCTAATCATGCTATAACATGACTAGCAGCAGAGATCTAGAACAAATGAACAATTGCTGTAGCATGAAACTGAACCTGAAACTGAATCAGGATTGTTCTACTAGCATAAACAAATCTGAAACCGAATCATAATTGCTGCAAGCATAAAGTTTCAGGGTTTAGAGAACAGGATCACATAAGCACCAGTTCAGTAACAGTTTCCCAGAAAGAGGCAACAATCAGAAACTCTTTTTTCTAAGCTATAAGATCAGAACATTTCTTAGCTAACGACTAATTTTCATCAAAGCTTCAGTTGCACACTAGAGCCACATGTGTGTGCAACCACCATCCCAAGTAAAAGCTGATCAGATATGGTGAAGCATATCACACCATCTGGTTTTCAGATCTCAGGCCAGTATACTTTGATGATAATCTGAATGAAATCAACTACCTATGACATATATCATGAAACATAACAGTAAAAATATTATACAGCCACAAAAAAAAATGCAAGTTACATTTTAGCATTACAATGGCTGCACGTCCGCAACAATAGTACACTCCTTAACCAATACAACCAGGTCTAAACTAGTCATTCAACAACCCAACCGGAACAATAGTTCACTTATGAACTAGGCACTTATTTTGTTTTTTTTTATAGAAACCAACATATAAATAGTTTTTTAACTGCCAACTACAGCCTCAGATCAATGGAATTGAAGCCTCCAACATGCCGACATAGCAATGTTACTTCGGGTCAGAACGGAGTTTGTGCGGAGTAATTTCTGGGACAACTCTGTAGATGTGCACTTTTATGTTATCCTTCTGGACAAGCTCGAAGACACACACATCAAACTTCTCCAGATTGTTGCCAACAGCAAATTTGCCCCAGCCACCACTGAAAGAACCAACAGAACGATCACTGTAGTAGACATAGTTAACTTCCCAAGCCTTCCCTTGTGGATCCCAGAGTGTGATCCTTTTGTTGGTATGGGGAAGACACTCACGGACAAATTCACATGGGATATTCTGCAATATAAGAAAATGAGTTTTGGTTTAGATATAAGAAAACAAGTAGGGAGGTTGAGTAAACATATACAGATAGTGAGCCTTTTTGTAAAAAAAATGTATTGCCCCGAGGGTAAGGCATAATTGGGGAAATCGGAAGTTTATCTAAGAAAGATAGTTGAAAAATACTAAACTTGGCTCATTTATGATGGTATTAACCGAATGCTTGAAAATTACTACTACAGACTGTTGCTTATTTATAGATCGCTCTCTGCTGTATGCAGAAACTTTGTAATAAGGCTATGTCAAGATGGGATGTTCAAATTAGAACATCCAAAACTCTCAAACTATAGCAGCAGCGCCATTGTGCAAATTATAATCATGCATGAAAGAATCCTCTCATGCACATATTTTTTTTAAGATAAAATGTCTCATGCACATAGAAAAAGGGAAAGTGCTGGATGAGGATTAACACACGGAAGTAACATTACCATGAAAAATCCAACATAGACATATGACTCCATCATTATTTGCACGGCAAAAGGATTCTTAGATTTAAACTCTCTTGCCCTTTGAAGAGCATGGTCCTTCTCTGCTTCAGTTACCGGACGCCTCTGTGATATTACTGTTAGTTGTCTTTGACCCTTTGAAACACCTGAAAAGTGCAACACAGTCAAATTGTCTACAGAAGTAATTTATTAGCACTACATTTAGGGGACAATAACTTACATCTACCACGCCGAGACACCTCACCAGACAGAAAGCGCATCAGGAATGGTGGATTTGGTGACTTGCTAGAAGAATTATCTTCATCTGAGCTGCATGATGAACCTATAATGTGCAAAAGTAATTTTTTTGGGAAATCATATGAATCCTTAGGATTCTGAACAAGTATGATGGAAATAAATAAATAAGCAACCTCTAACCAAGAGATTAGAAATATGTCTTTTTGCAATTACTTTGCATGGTTTGGCACCGCGTAGCTTATGGCTATGCATGGAACAAATCAGGAATACAACTAAACAAGTTCTATAAACGAAATGGATGTGGCAAGTCATTTGTGCCGTTATGCAGACCTCCCTGGTCCCCCAACAGTTCAAAATAATTGACTATTAATAGTCATCATCTAAGCTGACTATGCCAAATATGTGTATAACACTTTCAGAAATATAGAAATGTTTTACCTCTGGTACTGTTATGGCTTGTCGATGTTACCTTGGACTTGCCAGCAGAAGCTCCTGCACGTTTTCTCCTAGAACTTTCGCAAACATTAGCCTCAGATGACTTCTTAAATACAACCACCCTATCTTCCATAAGGTAATCTACATCTCTAGTTCTCTTTCCTGTGATTCCATTATTTTCCTTCAGGGCGGGAGCCATTTTCTCTGTTGTGATAGCTGCGGTGACCATGCCCCCTTCATCACTTTCTGTTTTAATGATCACATTTTTGGAAGGGTGAGCAGAGAAAGTTGATATCTTGTCAATGCCTGAAGGTTCAAAGACTGTCACTGAGAATTGTGACCGTTTATCATAAGTGAATACTAAAAATTGACCACACTGAATTGAGTTATCTCTGACAAATTCTTTCCATCCATGCACAAAGAAGAATCCCTCAGAGTCTGAAGTCAGCTCTGCACTCCATTTATTTCCACTTCGATCAACCAGAGAAACCATCCCAGTAGGTTGATTCTGAAGGCATTGGTTGAATGATGATGGGATTTTCTGCATTGTACCAAAGTATAAAATATGTTAATTTATTTTTCTACACTACTTGTTAACATTGTGAACTACTCATACGATGCAATGTCAGTTCAAAAACAAATATATCAGACAAATACAATATGCCACGTCATGTAATTTTTCTATAAGGCATCAAATTGTAAAGACCAGCAAAGCAGTCCTGACATCATAGCCTCAAAAATGCAAAATTACAGAACATACGTGATGTATGACTGGAAAAACTAAATGCTTAGACCAACTAAGATCAAACCTTATCCTGATTAATTGAATTCCTTCTTTTCCCACACCAAAAAATAAAAATGAAAAGTAAGACTCAAACCCTCTGAAAGATAATCCAACCCATTAGCAGAGGCCCATGTTGTGTAAGTTTTTAGCCGCTGAGTTGAAAAATGAAAGGACATCATAGGCAATTTTATTGTAACACAGTGCTTTCTACTATTCTTTGGCCACATAAATGTGAAAATGAACTAAGCAAGTTTGGCAGCTAGCCAGCTACTTTGGGAAAACCACGAAAATAGTAAATGTAGTCGTCATGAACTTCTAACAATAACTGATTGTGTGACCAATACACCTGAGTGTTAGACAAACCTGGATTTGGTAGTGGGAGTGATTACTCTATGTTTTTCTAAAGAACGCTATGAGAACACATACCACCACCAAACAAGGTTAATCAAGATGTTGTTTGCTGACTATGAAAAACCAACTGTGCAGTGCAAATGAAGAGCTACATATCAAAATCAATACTTTAATACGCTCGTGTGAACAATGAAAGTGTATAAGGTTACTAACGAATCAAAGCAAGCTAGTCACACTAGGGAATATACATAACCACCACAAAAACTCGGACATTTATTTGAAAGTGTTTATAGTTACCCTGCAATCATACAGCCACCTTTCGACTAAAACACATACTTCCAAATAATTAATCTAGCGAACACAATCCACATCCGTGGGATTCGCAAAAAGGGGGGACAAGCATATAGCTACCCTGCAACCAAACAACCGCCTTGGGGAAAACACATACTCCTAAATCATTAATCTAGCGAACACAATCCATATCCGTGGGATTCACACAAAGGGGGGGGGGGGGGAAGTATTTAGCTACCCACAGCCACCTTGGGGATAAAACACATTCCTAAATAATTAATCTACACGGACACAATCCACATCTGTGCGATTCAAAAAAGGGGAAAAAAGTGCAGATATCTACCTTGCAACCTAACAACCACCTTGGAGTAAAACACATACTCCTAAATCATTAGTCTAGCGAACACAATCCGCATCCGTGGGATTTACAAAAAGGGAAAAAATACATATAGCTACGGCTACCCACAACCACCTTGGGGCTAAAACACACACTCCTAAATCATTAATCTAGCGAACGCAATCCACATATGTGGGATTCACAAAAAGGAGGAAAAACATATAGCTACCCACGGCCACCTTGGGGATAGAACACATTCCTAAATAATTAATCTACACAGACACAATCCACATATGTGGGATTCAAAAAAAAAAGGGAAACAGGTGCATATAGCTACCCTAAAATCAAATAACCAGATTTGGGCTAAAACACATTCTCCTAAATCATTAATCTAGCGAACACAATCCGCATCCGTGGGATTCACAAAAAAGGAAAAAAAATGTATATAGCTACCCACAACCACCTTGGGGCTAAAACACATACTCCTAAATCATTAATCTAGCGAACACAATCTGCATCCGTGGGATTCACAAAAAGGGAAAAAGTGCATCCGGTCTACGGGTATCACCTGAGGACGCGAGACCTTGGGGTTAAAACACATACTACTTAATTATTAATCTACGAAAACACAATCCACATCTATCGGAGTTGCAAAAAAGGAAAAAAAATGCATGTAGCTACCCTGCAATCAAAAGTCACCATGGGGCTAAAACACATACTACTAAATCATTAATCTTCACGAACACAATCCACATACAGCTACCTACAGCCACCTTGAGGCTGAAACACACACTGCAGGTTATGTTTGGTTCATGGCCATTTCTAGCCTTGCCAATTTTGGGCAATGGCAATGCCATTTTTTTTTGGCAAAAATTGGCTAGTGTTTGTTTGGTTTGCTACCAAAGTTGCATCTTGACATATTCAACTCAGCCAAATAATTTGGCAAGGCAAATTTTTGGCCATAAACCAAACAAATAATAAAAATTTTGTCAGTCCCAATTTTTTTTTTCGGTTTGGCTGAGATTGGCTACAAACCAAACATGCATATCCCAATCAACTAGCACAATCAGCATCTAATGAACAGATTAAAAGTAGCACAAGTGAACACAACATTATTACTACCCTCTAATCAATCAACCATTCATAACAAACTGAACAACAACAACAACAACAACAACACAAACGGAGAAAGAGAGACAAAAAAGGGATTAAAGAGACATCACCATCCGCTCCAGAGATTGCAGGGTGAGAAGCACACGGAAGAAGCTCCTCCCGAAGCAGTTAATGTCGCACTCCTTCTCCTTCCCCTTCCCCTTCCCCTTCCCCATCCGGCCACCTTGCTTTTCCCTAACCACCATGACCTCCTACTCCGATTCTTGCGCCCCCCCCCCCCCCCCGACCGAACAACCAAAGCCGAAATAGAATCCAAGAAAAAGGAAGGAAGAAAAGAGAGCGCAAGCTCGCCCCGCCCGGCCGGGTGAACAAAAAGAAAAAAAAAATCAAACCGGCGAGGAGGCGGGTGGCGGGTCGGGAGAGGGAAGACGAGCAGCAGCGGCGGCGGCGGCGGAGGAGGAGGAGAAGCAATGGAAGCGAAATGCCTACCGCTGTGCTGCGATGCGAGGGGAAGAGGAAAATAGGAAACAAGCGAGCAAGGAGAGAGAGAGAGAGGGTTTTGGAAGAGAGAGGGGGGAGGGGAGTGTCAGCACTGGAAAAGTGGAAATTTCCAGAAGGGCCTGAGATATCACCTGCGCGGCGGGGTGGGGCCCACCTGCAGTCACACACACTTCCATCTCTTTTTTTTCCCTCATTTTTTTACTTTCTATTGCTCGCGTCCAATCAATAACTCTCTCTCCTTCAGTCCAATTCTCGCACTCTGCTTCTCTGTTGGCCCTGTTCGTTTCCTTCTAAACTGACAGGATAAACTTTTGGATTAAAATGGCATGTTTTTTAAACTACTAAACGGTATATTTTGTGCGGAAACTTTCTATATAAAAATTGTTCTAAAATATCAGATTAAACCATTTTTTAAGTTTGTAATAATTAAAACTCAATTAATCACACGTTATTGCCACCTCATTTTACGTGAAAAACTTAATTTTTATCTTCAGGAGATTCAAACACAACTTAATTTTTATCTTTAGGAGATTCAAACACTACCTTGATAGTACCCACAGCCACTTTGGAGATAAAAACACATACTCCTCATTCGTTGATCTACACGAACACAATCCACATCTATGGGATTAGAAAAAAAAGGAAAAAATTGCATATAGCTTCCCTGCAATCAAACAATCACCTTGGCGCCAAAACACAATCTCCTAAATCATTAATCTAACAAACACAATCCGCATCCGTGGGATACACAAAATGGGAAAAAGTGTAGATAGATACCCATAGGCACCTTAGGGCTAAAACACATACTCCTAAATCATTAATCTTTGCGAACACAATCCGCATATGTGAGTTTTACAAAAAGGGAAAAAAATATATAGCTACCCACCGCCACCTTAGGGCTAAAACACATACTCCTAAATCATTAATCTTCGCGAACACAATCCGCATATGTGAGTTTCACAAAAAGGGGAAAAAAAACATATAGCTACCCACCGCCACCTTAGGGCTAAAACACATAGGGTATGTTTGGTTCGTGGCCATTTCTAGCCTTGCCAATTTTGGGCAATGGCAGTGCTTTTTTTTTAGCAAAAATTGTCTAGTCTTTGTTTGGTTTGCTACCAAAGTTGCATCTTGACATATTGAACTGAGCCAAATAATTTGGCAAGGCAACTTTTTTTTGCCACAAACCAAACAAATAACAAATATTTTGGCAGTCCCAATTTTGTTTGCTTGGCTGAGAGTGGGTACAAACCAAACACATCAATAATAATATATTGAACCACAACGACACAAACAGATAAAGAGAGACAGAAAGGGATTCAAGAGAAATCACCATCCGCTCCATAGATTGCAGCGTGAGAAGCACACGGAAGAAGCTCCTCCCAAAGTAGCTCATGTCGCCCTCCTTCTCCTTCCCCTTCTCCATCCAGCCACCTTGCTCTTCCCCAACCACCATGACCACCCTCTCCTCCTCCCTCCTGCTCCGCCCAACCTCCCTGTTCTTGCGCCGATCCATACCTTCCTCTCCTCCTTCCACTCGCTACAACCAATCTACTACCACAACTAGATCAAAGATTGCAAGATTGCAAGGAAACCAAGAACAAGAACGGCAAGAACCTTCTCCAGCAATAGAGGAAGGGTTTATTAATAGCCCCTGGCTGCGGTAGGGACCAGACACATTGCAGGCAGAGGCAGCCTCCAGGGGATGCGAGTGTGTGCGGGTTGGCTGCCGCTCGCCGCTGAAATGCGCGCACACACACAACACACTAGCACAGCAAAAAAAAGCTATCGTTTTTGTCTTAAAGCTGACACTTTTGTCCTCTCCCTCATCACTCCACCTGAGAGTGAGGGGCAAACAAATTGGTCAGTCTTGTCAGGAGCAGTAGTAGGATACGGAGGGGATAGAAAGGCCCTGACATGATGGTCCTCTTTCTGTGCATTGTGCATGTGTGCGCTGCAGGGGAAATTGGGCAGATTTTGTAGTGGTTTCTCACTTGAATTGTATCCCTTTTCTCAGAGCAGAAGAAGAACATGATGGCATTGGATGACATTGTTGTTCTTCTGCTTGAACACCTGCAGATGACTAGGAGTAAGAGTACATGTCGCAATCTTGGGAGATTTAGGGGTGGTATTGGCACTGGTGTTGGTGTTGGGTTCATTTTCTTTTATTATAAACAACACATTCATATATATTGTTTTTAGTTGTAACATATGCTACATTCGCGTTATTACTATACACATATGCAACTTATATTTAGTCGCAACATGTGCTACACTAACGGTATCGCACATACACAACCTAGATATATTTGTATACTCTACATATATTTGTATTTGGTTGTGATAATCGTCAGAGTTGGGAAAGAGAATCCGGGAATAATGTCATTTTCGATGTTTAGAGGTGGTATGTGTATTGGTGTTGGCCGTATTTTCTTTTCCACTCATGCTGCATATGGACATATGTACGCGTCTATAAATATTTTCCTTTAAGAGGGCACATTTACGGGCGCATGCAACACAAGTAGCACCACCACACTCATTCCACATCCGCGCACACACATAGATCCTTTCACACACAAGCGAGGAGGCATTGCATTTTAGGGTGCACGCGACACATGCAACACTAACCAGACACATTCCAAATGCACGCACACACATTGACATCCTTCACACTCAGAACGAGGAGAGATTGCTTTTCAGGGTGTATATGACACACGCAACACCACCAGACTCATCCCACATGTGTGCGCACACATGGACATCCTTTTACACACGAGCGAGGAGAGATTGCATTGCAGGGTGCATGCGACACACACAACACCATTAAACTCATTCCACATGTATAAACACTACTCCCTCTGTCCCAAAATATAACAACTTTTAGCCCTCAAGATTTGTCCCAAAATATAACAACTTCTCCACCAACATTCTCTTCCCAACCAATCACAGCTCTCCACCGTTCACTTTTTCCACCTAACTCCACTACTCAACCAATCACAACCCTCCACCATTCACTTCTACCTACTTTCTTAATAATCGTGTCTAACTCTAAAAATGCTTATAATCTGGGACGGAGGGAGTACATCTTTTTTACACATGAGCGAGGAGATATTGAAGGGCTAATGCCCTTAGTGCACTGAAATGCATAGTAAATTGAAACACAAGTGTGTATAATTGTGCCTAATTGGTGGTAACCTTACCAGGAAATAGGAAAAGACTAGTGGTAAACATAATGTTGGGAATTGAACTTGTGCCAACCAGCTCTCACCACCGAGATCCAACCACTAAGCTATGGCTTAGTCCTCACATCTACAAACATTTTATTGTGATGATTGCGAACATTTGAGTTGAATGAGAGAAAATATGGGGCTTGGGGGTGTTTAAAATTTTGCATGATATGGTGTGGTGCTATTATGATGTTTATTGATACTAGCACAAAATGTTTATGTTTTAGTTAAAAAGATGGCAAAATTTGCTACGAGACCCTCAAAATTTGTGTTATTTGCTGATAGACAGCATAAAAACACGTCGCGGCTAAAAGACACTTTAAAAAACTAGTAATTTGCCGGAGGACACTTTCGGTGGTTCAATTGAATAGAGAGATTCTTTAAAAAGACAAGAATGCCCCTAGGGTCAAAAAGCTTTTGAGCTGAGACTAGAACGAAGATGGAATATAATGTATGCTAGTGATGTACTTGGGGATGATGGCAAATTTATATTGCATAATTTCTAAATTTTTACTCTAACATCATGTTTGAAGCATGTGGTCTTAGGGGCATTCTCGTCTTTATTAAGAATTTATCAATTTAATTGAGGCCAAAGTGTCCTATAGCAAAATATCAGTTTTTAAGGATGTCTTTTAGTCGTGATACATTTTTTTGATGTCTATCAGCAAATTACACAAAATTTGGGTGTCTTGTAGCAAAATTTGCCAAATTTTTTTTGTCTCATTTTAAGTTTTATATCCAAATAATCAGATTATATATATTGCTCTAACATAAAAAAATATTGTCAATACTCCGATCACAGTATCCATACCTGTATGGTTCGTTTGGAGGATATAAGGATCAATTGATATGAGGATGCAAGAATCTGTAAGGAGAGTAAGGGACACATAGATTTTTGTATAGGTCCGGACCCTCTAATTATGGGTAATAACCCTATCCCTGTTGGCCAAGATCGCTGTTACCGCTATATATAAATGTCTCGTGAGTACAAAGGGGAGGAAAACTCACACATTTATTTGAAATGCATATCTCATTTTTGCGTAGCTAACTAACCCATTGGAAGATAGCATCTTTATTCCTACACATAAACAGAACCAGTTTAGAATCCTTCTACAATCCATACAAGATTCTCCTGGATGCAATAAATAGCCACCTTGGGGGTAAAACACATTCCTAAATCATGAATCTTCACGAACACAATCCACATATGCTGGATTCAAAAAAAGGGGAAAAAGTGCATATAGCTACCCAGCAATCAAACAACCGCCTTGGGACTAAAACACATACTCCGAAATCATTAATTTAGCGAGCACAATCCACATATGTGGGATTCACAAAAAAGGGGGGGAACACATAGCTACCCATAGCCACCTTGGGGATAAAAACATTCATAAATAATTAATCTACACGGACACAATCACATGTGTGGGATTCACAAAAAGGGAAAAAAGTGCATATAGCTACCCTACAACCAAACAACCACCTTGGGGCTAAAACACATACTCCTAAATCTAGCGAACACAATCCGCATCCGTGTGATTCACAAAATAGGAAAAATGCATATAGCTACCCATAGCCACCTCCTAAATCATTAATCTAGCGAACACAATCCGCATCCGTGGGATTCACGAAAAAGGGAAAAGTGCAGATAGCTACCCATAGCCACTTTGGGGCTAAAACACATACTCCTAAATCGTTAATCTACACGAACACAATCCACATCAAAAAGGGAAAAAGTTGCATATCGCTACCCTGCAATCAAACAGTCACCTTGGGGCTAAAACACATTCTCCTAAATCATTAATCTAGCGAACACAATCCGCATCCGTGGGATTCACAAAATGGGAAAAAGTGCATATAC